TCCGCCGAAACGTCAGCTCATTTGTGAATAAAGAATAATAACACCTCGCGTTTGCTCAACAAAAATACGAAGAATTACTGTCAATAACGTTGGAGGGAAGGCACTAAAGCACTAAACCTGAGGATTCGCAGAGAAACATACGAACTTCTAATGACAACACAATCGATTCAAGGACAAACTTTCTAATCTTAGCCAAAATTTTCAAATAATACTTTTTGTAATGTCGTCAATTTTTTGCTTACTGCCTACTATTTTTAATGGCAGGGTATTATGTGAAATATAACCATAATGTTGCTGAGATATTTACAAAACTGGGACCGCAGGTGACTGCGGTGGAGACTGAACACGTTACTACCCTTTTCGGGGCTAACGCGTTCACCACCACACCATGCAAGTCCTTAGTTTCTCATGTCTCACAGCCGCGCTATTAGCCTATGGCGCTATCAGCAATCAGCGTCAATGGGATTTGTCTGGGGAGCACAAGTTGGCATGAACCCAGTTAATCAGAAGCTATGGTATAAATATATACATAGGCATAAATGAATAAATATATGCATAAGTAAATAAATATGTATAAATAAATGCTATAGCTTCAGGTTAACTGGGTTTATGCCGATTTGTGCCGTCGAGATCAATCCCGTTGACGCTGATTATTGATAGCGCCTATAAGTCATTAACATGGCTAAGAGACAGGCCCAACAAAGACTTGCATGGTGTGGTGGTGAACGCGTTAGCTCCCGAAAAGGGTAGTAACGTGTTCAGTTTCCACCGCAGACACCTGCGGTCCGGAGTTTTTTGCAAATATCTCAACAACACTATGGTTATTACTCGTATGAAGTGCTGAGATATTTGCAAAACTCCGGACCACAGGTGTATGCAGTGGGGAACGAACACGCGCTGTTGTCCTTGCCGGGGAGCAGCGCACTTCACCACTACACCATCCGGGTCTTTCGCTTTGCATGTATCTCAGCTAGTTCTATCGATCTTTTTGCCATCAGCAATCACCCGTCAACGGGATTGATCTGGGGAGCCAATATCGGCATTGAACCCAGTTAAGCTGAGGACGGGTGATTGCTGATGGCAAAAAGATCGATAGAACTAGCTGAGATACATGCAAAGCGAAGGACCCGGATGGTGTAGTGGTGAAGTGCGCTGCTCCCCGGTAAGGACAACAGCGCGTGTTCGTTCCCCACTGCATACATCTGTGGTCCGGAGTTTTGCAAATATCTCAGCACTTCATACGAGTTATATTTCACAACATACCCTGCCATTAAGAAGAAAAAGGCAGTAAATAAAAGAGTTAAGACTATGGCTATACTTTTTGCAATGTTCGCACCCTTTGATGCTTTTGTGTGCTTTATCTCAATTTACGCCCTTGTGTCAATAGTTTACTAAATATTAGTGTAATAATGGAATTATAAAAACGCATACGATGCAGCAGTTAGGGATAGCCTGCAATACAAACGTGGTCTTTGGTTCTATCCCGCGTCGTGAGGCAAATGATGCCCTTTGTCTCTCCGGGAATGGAAAACTGCTTTCATGTTTGTCTGGAAGAGTAAAAACATCGACTTGATTCATCAGTAAGCCACCATAAGTTGTATAGGGTAGATATATATACCTTTACCTCTGCGATCTTTATTACAGTCCAACCCATGGCTCATCTCTATGGGATCGTCGATCAACAGTGAACGCTACCCACTCTCTCCTCTCCCTTCCTCCTACCACTCCTACCTGTGGAATATTAGTCACCTTTGAACAACAACTTTTTATGAACAGCGTAATCGAACTGTGTCGCTGTTGTCAATATGTAGGAATAAGGACATATGAGAGACATCAAAACACGAATTCTGCTAAAATTCGTTATTGACGAAGAATGTCCGTCCCAGAAGCTTTCAAAAATGGCATTAACCTCAATATGACTAATGAACTTTTGTAAGCACTGGGAGAATTGTGGTAAACGAGCTCGAGGGTATGGCTTTTTGACGTCATGAAAAATTATTGCCAGGATATTCGTTCTCGATCGTGTGTATTCTCGACCGCAGGAATCCTTGCTATCGAGAAGGAATCCTAGTGAGAAGCAGGAAAGCTTCTCTTTCATCAGCATAAGTCGACGAAATAGAACGCTATAACTTTGTCGGTATTTCTCTTTTCACTGGGTGAAACCAACAATGCATCAGCATTCTAGGTGTTCATGAGTAAGAAATTCGACAGATCACAGACTGTCAAGCTTCACCTGTACCGATACACGAAACCGAACTTTTTTATGGATGACAGGTAGAGGATAGCGAAACTAACAGAACTTAAGGCGCGTCAGCCAATATTGAGCAAGTCTTATTATAAACAGCCCGGTGTCTGTTCAATAGCAAAACATTAACTTAAGGCTAGCAAGTTTTGTGAGGATGGATTATCTCTGCATACATTTAAGCTTAGAAATGAGACGTGCTTATAATAATATTAATGAATAATAATAATAATAGAGAATCATTGATCACATCTATAAATAATAAATAACACGATTTATTGACAAGCTCCTAAGTGGCTGATAAGAGTTCTTCATTGATGTTTCGGTCCCACTAACATCTTCCGAGTCGCACTGATTGTGTTCACTATGGATTTGTTTCTGGTAGAAGAACAATGCGTTGACGTCTATCAACCCCTTAGGGGTGCTTCATGAATTCTCCATCATTCATCGTTAGACGTAAATGAACGCACACTTGCCCTTTAAAATGACGTACGGGAGCAAACCAGTCTACCAGCAACCAGCAAACTCAGTATTTTTATCCATGCAAATAAGTCTGGTACTAATTTCCTATCTTAAAGGAAATACCTCCTTGGTTAACAGGGGGTGTAGGGATCAATTAATAATCCTGTGTGTTTTCCAACGCACCTATAACCATCGCACTGCACACGTCGTTTCTCATAAAGAATGAAGATGAGGAAATAAAGGATTAGCAAGGGAACATAATCCCTGTATTCTTTTATGCTTTTTTGTTTTATTTTTATATGAGCTGTCTTCACGCCTACTGTGCGGATCCCAGCACTCGAGCAGAACATTCGGTTCACCTCCTCGCATCCATTGTTCACGAGGATCCTCCAACTTTTACGTGTGTCTTCGGTTGATGCTTCAGGATTTTCTTTTCATCTTAGTCGTGGAATTCTCGTCCAGCAATTGCAGAGAGCGATTTTTCCCCCAGATAAGTCTGGTACCAATTTCCCGACTCCGGAGGGATGAGAGGCTTGGCTGGTCCGGAGTGGAACCGAACTAGTACCATGCTTATAATAACGGACATCACTACCACTGTGCTATCCACCCATATTTCATCCACTATTCTTTTATACTAATGCGTGAAATGTGCTAATGCTAGAATGGTAGAGAAAATAGCAATCGTTGGTTATTTCTGAGTTCTCGTATTTCCACTGCCACATTCATGCACACTATTTTTCTTAAAAAAAATTTACGTATATTGTAGAAATGAAACCAGTATTTATTTGTATTTTAGTTTCACTTGGAATAAAATATCTATTCACCATCAGACGCAGACACCTACTGTCCGGAATTCTGCGAATATCTCAGCAACATTGTGGTTCTATTTCGCTTAATACCCTGCTGTAAAAATTGTAGTAGGCAGGAAATAAAAAGCAAAACATTGCGATTTCAACTACCGGCCTCAGCTTAACTGGGTTCAATGCCGATGTGGGCTCTCCAGATCGATCTCGTTGACGGGTGATTGCTAATGGCACCCGTCGATACAACTGGCTGATCGACAGGCGAAACGAAGGACCCGCATGGTATGGTGGTGAACACGTTAGCGCCGGAAAAGGTAATAGCGAGTTCGTTCCCCACCGCATACACCTGCGGCCCCGAGTTTTTCAAATATCTTAGCAACGTTATGGTTGTATCTCTTCACCGACGACAAAGAAGTTCTTACGAAATTCTCTTCTTGAGAGTTATAATAACCACTTAGTAACGTCTCATAAATCATTCCTTGAGTGTATTCAGTTTGAAAACAGAATTACTGGACAAATTGTGCCTAAGTGTTATCGAATTGTAAAAACACTTTCCAAGAAAGCGGAATTTGCTAGTTAGCCATTCCAGAACAATTTTTATTCTAGTAAACTCGTCACACCCATAGCTCATCAAGAACGACATAATAGTTCCATAGCTCGTCAAGAACAAGATAATCTAGTAGTGTCATCTTCAATACAGTTCTTGTTTTAAGGAACTTCTACTTCAGCGGCTTTGAAAATAATGCACTTGATGTTGGTCCCTCCCTCGTGGATGAACCATGCATTCTAGTCCATGCGTAGCATTGTGTGGTGACTGATTACACATTGGGTTATAAGTTAGCTTGGGATTACGCAGTGATATATCAAGTCAGTGTTTCTCTCAGTGCAGAAGAGTTTCGGCACCAATTTACCGCTCCTTGACGGATAAATGGATTGGTTAGCCCTTTGTACGGCTTCGAACGAACGATCACGCGTGTTGCAGCGAACCTCTAAACACTATGTAATACATGCTCTTCGCTCTCAAAATCTCACAAAAACGTTGCTCTTAAGTGCTGAAGTGTGGGACGCTTAGGTTCTCTAAATTTGACCCGAATATGAGAACAACTGGAAAAAGTGGCGATGATGTCAGTGCTTATTCAATCTGTTCTAAATTTCAGTACGAATTTTTGGTTACGACGTCTGACGTCAAACGTTTATTTATGTACATTATCTGTATCCAGTTGCGTGTTTTTGTTTACGGTAAGACCATTTCTTAGATTCATTAGTTAGCAAGAACATGGGAATGTCAATCAGTGGTTTTATAAGTCCACGGTTTCTATTCTACCCAAAAAGCAAAGCACATTCGTAATTTGTTCCCTTGAAGTAGTGGCAACTTTGAAGTGTGGAGTTTTTTGGACTTTTTCAATCCACTGAGAACCCTTTGAAAAAGGCAAAAGGCTACATGACCATTATAATGACGTCATTCTATCAACTCAGATTTTCATTCACTTTATTTTCCCCTTCCTCCGTTCGTTTTGACCAGCTTCAGGACTGGATTTGTTCCTATTTGCCTTTCTCCCCACGAAAACATTGACAGTCATAACCATCAGCTGATATGATGACATCTTCTTCATTAAGGATATGTCAATTCATTTCTTCTTCCCAAAAAATCGTTTCTCAATGATGACTCCTCTCAGTTCAGTTGATGGTGTCATGGGTGGATTCGGCGTATCGGCTTCATATCTACATGGATTCGGAGATCGGCTGCAAATTATTTACATTTCTCGCTCATCTATCGGATTTCGTATGTGTATGGATGATTTCGTGGATATCATGTGATCGTATGATAGTGCTATATCGACCAGGTAAGGCTGTGCTTATTTGAACGACAGAAGGTGGGGATTTGCTTTCGCTGTTTGGGTAATTGAATGAATAAAGGCTCATTTCATGACAATTTTCTCTGTTGCACTTATGCCATTGCTCAAAAACGAGTGTTTTACAACAGTTGCCGTTAAATAATGAATCGAAATAAGAGCGATATTTCAGGTTTTCGTAAATGGGTCTGCACAAAAAGGTTCTCCCGAAACTGGACGGTCTTCACCCTTGTGACGTCGATTGTGTTCTACAGCTGGGTGTTCATGTTTGCTGGTCTCGAGGAATATAAAGGCGACTTATTCTGCGGTCTGAGTAGTAAGGCACAGGTGTTTGGGTGAGCAACTTTTACCATTTTCGCTCGATATTCAATGTAGGTAAGGATAGATGATAAAGCTCTTAGCGAATCCCCGAGGGATGTGCCACGCATTCGACTTGATTAAGCATCGTAGAGCTGATTAAATGAATAGATTAGATGACCTGCGCAATGATTTGTGGTGGTCTGCCGATATTACATGCCACTATTTTGATCCTGCCCGACAAGTCTAGTACCAATTTGTCGACACTGGATGGATGGCATGCTTGGTGAGGCAGGGCACTTATATCACAAGATGCTACACGTGGCCGATGGCAGTAGCACACAGTGTACTTTTGATTAGGGTGAAATGCATGCGTTCATTCCGTTATTCTACAGGTATCCGGTGGCCGATCACTATTTCCTGTTCACGTTACTCGACACTGCCATCTGCACTCTTGTGCCTGCTATTCTGATCATGTTTGTCAATTCTCTTTCCATCTACCGCTATCGTCAATGCATGCGGATCTACTCGTCAGGAGTACTGAGAGTACGATTCGACCGTTCATCCAACACTAACCCAATACACTACGTGAGTTCCTAGCAATTTCAATGGTCTAAACCATGAAAAGTTAGCATCATCACGTATGCAAAAGCTTCATGAAATCTAAATCTTTTAGCAGAATCTTGTAAAATGTGGATAAAATTTCTCCCTTTCAGTTTTAGTAATAGTACAGCATATTCATAATACGTATGTATATGCATGCATGTATGCATATGTAATCGCTCTAGTCACCGAGTGATGTGAACTTGAAACTTACTTGGATACTTGGATGGCCCGTCTTCACAGGCTCTGCGGGGCCCAGCATAATTTCCGTTTTTCGGAAATTTGCTGGTCTAACCATTGTGGTTCCCTGGAGCCTCGAGGTTAGCCTGGGCAAAGTCTGACCCAGGACTTCACCATCACTGGTAGTCGTCGGCCTTTGTGGATCACAGAGAGATGTGTCATCATACGACTACTTCCAGGACGGTGATGGATCATAGTACTGGTTTCCTTTTAGCTAACCTTCCTGATGGAGACGCCAGACTCCTTCTCAGCTTGGGAGACCCTGTAGGGGAGACGAATTCCCCGCTGTACATCGCAGTCCGAAATTCAGGGCCACCTTCCAGCCACGATGAGGCGGTAATAGGATGCTACTGTTTTTTCTGGAAGCATTCACATGGTCCCATCCATTCTAAGTCTACCTCATGACAGCGAACCATAGTTGGGTAACAGCTTCGCGACAAACAATCAATGTTCGAGGTCTCTCACATGAACCTATAGATTGTGTCCGAGTGCAGAACAAAAAATCCGTGGCTGTTTATTATAGAAGACACACATTGAGAAGAAATCGAACCCTCGTTGGATAAAATATCATTCACTATACTGGCCTGTGTCACCGTACAGCACTGAATTCCTTCACGTAATTGATTTGAACAAATTTTCAGGAAGAGACAACTGCGAAGAAGTTGTTGTTGAGTCAAACGCGTACCAATACCCAAATGTCAACACAATCGAATCGATCCACGTGTGGAAAATTGCGCTCTTCAGATCTTCAGCTAAGTAGAACTTTGCTCATTGTGACAAGGTAAGCATTGGTTCCAGAGGAACCCCACTGTCGTAAAAGAATTTCTCAAATAAATACCATAAATAAATCTGTTTAGCACTTTCGTTCTTCTAAATGTGCCCAGTTATATGGTGAGGATCATCCAATACATTTTCGAGCCTCGTACCCAAATTTTCCATTTCTTGCACTATTTCTCCTACTTAATCTACTATCTACATCATGCAGTACTATTCTACATGTACATATTCTGGAGGTATGGATTAGAAATTATTCCGATAACCTTACTTGAATATTTGGACTACTTGGACAGCCCGTCCTCACAGCTTGTGTGGTCCCCAGCATTTTCTCGATTTTTCGGAGCTTTGCTTGCTTAGCCATGGTGTTTCGCTGGAGTTCTAAGTCCAGCTTGACCAAAGTCTGCCCCCGGTCGTCACCACCACAGGAAATCGCCGCCCTTATGGATTACAGGGATATTCGCCACCATGTGACTAGTTTGACACCAGGACAATGGTAGATCATGGCATTAGTATACTCTTAGCTAGGCTTCCTGATGGAAAAGCCGGACTCCTTCTCAACTTGGGAGACCCTGCTGGGGAGATCAATGCCCCGCTGTGCATCGCAGCCCGACATCCAGGAAGACCTCGCAGCCACCATGAGATGGTAAACTGTCGGGAGGACTCTGATAATCTGTAGAAGAAAAGAAAGAAACGAGTGATATCGTTTTTATCGCGCGTGATTCTCCGCAGCATCAATCAATACATATCGTTACACATTTTCCTGAATATCCTATGAGAAATTTTCCTGCTGTCTACGAACGTTCTCACCAAATTTTTTTATATACAGTATCATGTATTTGTAAGACAACTGTAACTATTCGTTTTTTCAGTCCACAAATGAAAAAACAACTTAAACCGACTGCGATCCGTCTTCTGGAGTGCTACTGCTTCAAAACTGTTCCTGAATTCGGCCATCGTTCTACTTCCGTTCAGGGTTTCAATTGAATTTTTAAATGCAATAACTTACAACAAGAAGTAACCACTTTCATATAAACCGCTCTTTCATAACTAATTCAACAAAATTTTACTATTGTCTTAATGTTCTCTTTGTTGCTCGATCTCAATCGATTAATTTTACGAGTAGCTTAAATGTGAAGAGTTCCACCAACATCTCCATGTAACAATTTGCATACACTTCTATCGGGTTTGGATTGTGTTCATAAAAATAAAATCTATTATGATTTTGAGCCGTTGACGTGAAGTACGAAAAAAATACACTACTACTAGATCTCCGAGTGCCCACAAGTCTTCACCACAGGCAGACATAGACCTTTTTTGGATTGGATCTGGATCTCATTCTAAACAGGTCTAGCGCTGCTTAACCTAGTCCAGACTGTTGGGAGACTTGGTTATCACGAGGTAGGGTAGAACCAGCGGCTACAGCCCAATGGATAAAGCGTACGGCATTGCTCAATCACTGACGGTGCGCCATGTACCTGCTTTCATAAAGCATCGATAGATTGATTAAATATACATCTGACCTGTAAAAGTACTTGTACCAGCCTACCGCTACACCATCTTTGTGGTTTTGTCCACTTAGGCACGTCTGGTAACAAATTGTCGATCCTGGAGGAATAAGGACCTATGTTAGCACTTGCGCAGAATTTGACCAGTTACCGATCAGATGTGTATTGCAGAAAACCTCTAACTACTGTGTTATTTAGGCGATCCGTTCAGTATATGTTACAAAGTACGTATAACACTGGGAATGCTATTATGGATCAGGATAACAGTTGAGTAGTTCTTAAAACCCATTTAAAAATAGCCTACGTTTTTCTTTGGCTTCTTCTTTTAGCCTTGTCACAAAGAATAATAAGCACGGAAATACAATATTTTTCCCCGGAAATACGTTCCATGGCACAGAGTTCATATATCCATTTTGTATATTGCGTCTAACGCTCTTAGGTAAACGACCACTCACAATGCTTCCTAGGCACCAGAGTAGCACTACCACACGTGACTGGTGGCACGCTTTTGCATAGCAAATTTCCTCGACACACAAATAATTTCGAAATGTGGAAGAAGTATGGCAGAATGCACAGAAAACTTCAAACGATATTTACTTACCGGGACATCTTGCAGTAACTCCCACCTCCGACTTTCTATTAACCTCGGCATTGATTGAATAATTCTTTCCACTTCTGTTTAGTAAACACGAGGTGTTATTTCTATTCGTTATAATGTTATAATAACTCCTCGTGTTTGGTAAACAGAAGTAGAAAGGATATTTACTTACTTGAATACGGGGACGATCAACCTTCACGAGTTTTGTGGATCCCAAAATAATTTCCATTTACTTCTTTACCTCGTCACCGTTGTCCATAGTGGTGGTTTGATTCGAGTATGGTGATGAATGCGAGTATCATTCCATGATCTGTAAAACAACGGAAAGTGCGAGTACAACCGCTTGGCTTTAGTTACGAACACGTCCTCCCAGCTCGTAAGGGACGCCTGCATCCTATGGACTATTACATGAGCAGCACATCTATGTTCTGTTACTAATGTACGTTTTCTTGGGGCTGTCATTCCGGCTTGATATTGTGTGTCCGGCTATATTTCAGAAGACATCATTAAAGTCCTTGTCGGTGGCATGCATATTTCTTGACGTAGTTGAAAATATCACCTCACATGTGTGCTGCATAGCAGAGCGCTGGAAAAGCCATTGAAACGAAAAGGTGAGTGCGGAATTCTAGGTTTTTAGTTGATCGCTGGCTTCTTTGAGAGACCCGAATGCAGCCCATGCTGCTCTCGCTCTTCTGCCTAATTCCTCCTTCATGTTGTTCTCCATGCTCAGTGAACACCCAAGGTACACGCACGAGGTAGTCTCTATAATAAGAGAACCAATAATTAGATCTTACCGCTTTCGCACCATGGGTTTCTCATGAGCTGAGTCTTCTTCCGATTTATGCATAGGCCGCCCTTTCCCCTCTTCGTTGATTCACTGACCACCGCATCTGCTTCGTTTGTACTTCTTGAGAAGATCGCGATGTTGGGCGACATGAAGATTTAATGGGAATTTTCCATGAATAGTTATTCCTTTATCATTACAGTCGAGTGACTTCATTACCCACTTCAACGTGGCACTAAACAGCTTTAGCGATATGGTATCGCCTTGCCGAACCCCTTTTCCTATGGCAACGTAAGAGGTCGAAAGAAAAGCTGTATTTTAGTACTGCAGTTCCTATAACAGTCAGACAGAGTTCTTATGTAGGACTGGTCCAGTCCTTGGTCGACGACCAGTGATAGGATGGCATTCATTTCGACACTGTCAAATACTTTTTCATAGTGGACAAAAGCCAAGACTAGGACCAGGTAGTATTCCTGACAAACTTCTATGACTCAGGACACGATCCGAATGTGGTCCATGAGTTAAAATCCCTGTCGAAATTCTGCTTGCTTAACTGTTGTGCCTCATCCAATATCCTTGATAAGTGCGATAGAATAATCTTCGTGAAGAGATTGTAGAAGACACTCAACAAGCATATCGGACGATAGTTACGATGATCTTCTAGAGCAGGATAACCGCCCGCAACGTCGTCTGGTGGTCTGGGACTCTTCCCTTGGTTTCCTTTCGATTTCTTTCCTCTAATCCAAAATTTTCCACCCTGTATTCGCAGTAGTCGTAAAGGCCGGATATGCATTTAATGACCTAAATCGGCGTCCTGGCGCATCCTTCAGCGATTGATCAACGCTGAGAACTTTATCCTTTTTCTATCACCACCTAAATTCTCGACTGTGCTGATTTCCTACAACTTACGACGATTACTCGACTTCGAGAATAGTTTAAGAGCCGGGAAGTTTATAAACTGATAGGAAAGACTATGTTATCTGCTCCGTCAATTGTGGAATTCTATAATAGAGTCGGCCGTGGAAAATACCATAAGAATTCTACTAAATATTTCTTATGTACTTCCTTCTCGATGAGATGCATCTAAAACGGAAACTATTCGAGAAAAATCCTACAAAGTACCTTGAAAAACCTAGAAAAAACAGTTGGAAGGGAAGAACAAAGTTGCTGTGCATGGTGTCCTATGCTAAATTCACATTTCCTCAAGTATAGATACTGAAAATGAAAGCGCTCGTAACGTATTACACAAGTGTAAGTAGTAATATTGTACTGTATGGCCAGTTATAGAAGCCACTAACAAGTTCTTCAACCTAATTCATCTTTCATCACTATGTTCACTATAGATGGAGGTTCTGAACTATAATGAACAGCTGAGATGCATCCCCTACCATGGTCGCCAAAACTGATAAGTTGTCTAACGCTTTGATCAGCAATCACAGCTAATAGCAGTCCTATGAAATAGAGCTCAACCAACTACCATTGGCTACGTTCTCACCAAAAACAATATAGGAATCAGACATGATACGAAAACAATGATGCTCTATTTGTCGCTCGAGGCAGTGAAGTTTACAGGCAGACTTGGAGCACGAAAGGAACCAGTAGGATTTTTTGATGCAAGGTCAACTTATTCGGTTATTAACGGAAATAGGGGCGATTGAAACCAATGAATGACGCAGTAAAATTCATCCTGCATTGCTTCATTAGGCCACTAAACAGGTATGTGCATCCCGTACTCAACTCCTGTTACTGTTATTTATGAAGTATGGTTTAGGATCATCGGAACCTCTCTATTTCTTATAATTATGGCGATGTTACGAAAAGTGGTGCATCATCATCAGCACTAAGATTGATTAGGGGTAAACTACGACTATCTGAAGCGCTTAACATCAGATAATAGTGCTACAATGAAAAACCTAAATAATAACTGTTTTCTCAGTAGGAAGACACGAAGCGGAAGATATTCTTAGTCAATCAAGTCACAGTACCACAAATCAGCCTTGATAAAACACAGACATACCGTCTGCAAAGATCTCACTAGTGAAAGTATGATAGATAATGTACCAAAGAAATAAAGAGCCCCCACGCTAAGAGGTATGAAGGTACGTGCCCATTCTTAGCACTGGATTCAAGTACCTCGGTATGCCAACGTATTTCCCAGGTAATCGTGCATAGGATCACGTGTAGTCTGTATTATCTTCAAATAGATTCCAATATTAAGCTCTACTAAGGGTATCAAAAAGGTGCGTTTGGTACAGTGGTCGAAGCTACCCTGCAACACACACGTGGAATCGATCCCCGCACTCATTGCTCACCAAGCCTTCCATCTCCCCAGGGGTCGGTAAATTAGTACCAGATTTGTCTGAGAGGATAGCAGCACTGGTTCCATACATCGATAAGCCATCGTGGGTCATTGTGAAGGCCAAATATGCATTCAATCACCTACAAACGATGCGTAATGAAGTCGAAAGCATGGCGCATCCCTCAGGGATTGATCAACGCCGAGAGCTTTATCTTTCTTTAATGGTATCAAATAACGAAAAACAAGAAAAAAAGATATCACAAGAACCGTGTTCTTTAACCGTGTCCTCGAGTGTTCTTTAAGCAACAAGGCCTTTACTGTGAAATTGATTTAAACCTTTGCACGCTTTCAGATGCTCTCAAAATCGTTAACCACCATCTCGCGAAGTTTAGCCGCAACCTCACAGCAGCACACATGTGTTCCGTGTAAGAGGTTCTAAGCTAATAGATTAGAAATCCATTAGATTGTCAGTTGGCGATAAACGTAGAGAAAATGTAACCATTATTGGTCGGCTAGATATTGAGATAACAGAGGAACAGTTAAGACGCTTTCCTTTATCGCTCATGAATTGGAAAGGAATTCAGAAGTCAACACCAAAAACAATAATGAATAGGTCGGGGTAACAGACACAATAGGCTTGTAACTATCAGTTAATTCTCGAGTTAAAATCGAACTACCAACATTTTCCGTAGTTCGTAAAATGCATAAGTTGGTATCAATTGATGACACTGCGTAAAGATTAGACCCACCACCTGCTGCTTAGATAGGGTGACGGATGTGGTTTATAAATCTGACACC